ATCATCATCATCATCATCATCATCATCATCATCATCATCATCATCATCTCCTCTGCCCACTCCTCAGCTGATATGAAAGTGTTCCTTGTCCCGACTTGATATATTCACAACAATCTTGCAAAATAGATTTAAGTCAAAAACGATGTCCTCCTTATGGCATTTTATGCATCAAGTGATAACCTCTGATTTGCCCAGAGCTTTAAATACAATAAACAAAAATCTGGACTTTCTACATCGTTTGTCCCATGCTGGGAAATTTGAACTGCTAGGATTTCCCCCATCAAACAAGACTGCCTGCATCATTCTTCTGCTTGAACTATTTTTAACCTAAGAATGCTTTGTATTGTTTAAAGTTAATATACGTAATAGCAACAGGGAAACTATTAAGAATAAAATAGATAATAAAAGATAAAGGAGGAGATGTTTTAGAGTTGAGATTAAGTTCTGGAGCTTATGAAGGGAGGCTGTTATTTCCTTCAGCTGGATGAGTTTTCCGACTTTCCAGTCTAGCTTATCATGCCACCAGAATTCTCCGGGCATGTACTATCTATGCACTAACCAGGAGTGACTATCTCTGAGAATTTCCCTGTCTATGGAGATTCTCAGTCATGGTTATCCCAAAGTTGCTTCTTCAAAAAGCAACTGGACTTTGTTTTTCTTTGAGATGTTTCGCTTCTCATCCATGAAGCTTCTTCAGTTCTTCAGTCTTCAAGGAAAAACAAAGTTCCGTTGCCTTTTGAAAAAAGAAAGCACCTTTGGGACAGGCCTGACCGTGTTTAACTCTTGAGCTCAAGTAATGTCGGTCAGATGCTGCCACCTGTTGAGCCATAAACAGATAAAACTATCACAAATGCCAACTCAAGAAACAGAAAGCTCATCTGGAATGCATCCAAAAGAACATGTCTTTCTGAATATGTCGATCAAGGTTCTCAGTCATCCAGGTAGAATTGTCTGAAAACTGAGTCATGGGAACTGGACTTATTTTTGTTAATTTGAGATGTCCAAGCAGCAGCCTCCTCACTCTGGTTAAGCAGAGGCATTGCAATGTACCAACTCCTCCTGAACCAAACTTAGGGTTTCTTCCCCAAAATGTGTGGCAATTTTCAGATTCCTTTCTTAACTGAACTTAGAAGACGTTGGTCGGAGTCTCTGCTGCTTCCAGGTGCCCTCAAATGCAGGTAATGGGGATGATAAAGCAATCCAAGGTGAGTATGGTAGTAAAATAGAAATGCTGGTGGTTTCCAGAATCTCAGAGAAAAATGCATAATAGACAACGTCTCTGATGATCCTAACATTTTTGATCTGGCAGAGATAGAGAAGTAGCTGTCACCCACAAGAACAGGAATGCTTGGGAATTAGCAGATATTTTGCCATTGTTGCTAAGACACAAGATTGTTACATAACGTCACCCAGAAAGGAAAAAAAAAAAGCCAAACTCCAGCAGTTGCCACATCTCTCTTCTTCCCACTTCCGCCACTGAGACAACTTTTGAATGTTTTGCATCAAATAACAAGCGAGTGGCTCAGAAACTCATTTCTGAGTATTTCTAAAGAATAAAACTCCCTCTCAGCTCAACGGCATTAGAAGCTATGACTTATATACCGCTTTACAGTGCTCTACAGCCCTCTCTAAGCGGTTTACAGAGTCAGCCTATGGCCCCCAACAATCTGGGCCTTCATTTTACCCACCTCGGAAGGATGGAAGGCTGAGCCTAGTGAGATTCGAGTTACTAAATTGCAGGCAGCCGGTAGGCAGGAGAAGTAGCCTACAGTACCGCCCTCTAACCACTGCGCCACTGTGGCTTTCTGCTTGTACCCATCTGGACATTTTAAAGGCCATGGGCCCCATATGGCCCTTTGGCTGTCCCTCTCTGGCCCACAGGGTCAGCGGCAGACAGTGGGGGGCAGGGAGTTGAAAAGGCCATTGGGACATTAGCAGGGGACAGGGGGCAACAGCAGCCCTCCAAAATATTATCATATTATCAGTTTCTCATGTGGGCCCTTGGGAAAATTAACTGCCCACTTCTGTGTTTTGCAGAGTAGCCCGAGGTTGCCATGAAGCAGCTCCTGTGTGCTGGTAGTATCTGCTGCCTGGCTTTAGGTTCCCTTGGGTGGCTGAGTGGGAAGCGGGCTGAGGTGTCAGGGCTCTGACAATACACCCCCCCCCACCAATTTAAATCATGAGTCTCTAGCCACATCTCTCAGAGTAAAAAAAAAAATGATTTATTGGGAGTGACCATGCCAGTGTTAACTGGGTGCAGCCGACTGTAACACACATCATTCATTTCACCCTTGACCCTGGTCTTCCCCCACCCCCTGGATGTATATTCTCCAATGGGACACATCCATAGCCAAGAGTCATCAATCATGCTCTCCAGTAATAATCTTGCTCACCAGAAGCTTTGGCTGCCTATCAATTATCTGAAGCATTTAAGTAATGCACTATTTTCCCCACTGCTTTTCTGCTGGCAACTAAAAAGACCAAAGAAGTATTTTTTAGTTGACATGAGGCCTGTGGAGACCCCCAAAAGTAGGAAGTGGGTCACAGGGTGTCTCAGGGGTAGGGGAGGTCTTGGGAGGCCTGGGACCTGCATTAGCCTCCCAGGGCCTTTCTCAATCCCTGAAGCACCCCGTGCTTCACTTAACAACATTCATATTGGTTTAACAGCCACATCAGGGAGAGCAGGAAGTGGAAGTTGTTAGGCGAGGCCACCTGTCTTAATGACTGTCAGTACTTGTGACTGTAATGAGCAGGCTACATTACAGTTGTGAATGAAGGAGTACCTGTACTAATACATATATTGAAAACAATCCCTATGTTGGTTCCACATAAATATTTTAAATATATTGATGAATTAATGGCCAGATTTTTTTTAGGAAGGAGTCTAGGATTTCCTTCTTAAAAGTTTCTCTTACAACAACGGTGGTTTTAATTTTTTTTAACAACATCAGGTTTGTTTGTTAACCTCAATCATGTACTAGGACTGAAATACTACTGAGTATTTGCCACAGTGGGCTCAGTTTGAGAGTTACCATTCCATGTTCTTGGTTTTAATTACAGCAGGGATTTGGTTAATTTGTAATTATTACCAGTTAAATATTGTTGCTATGTAAGCCAGGTGTGCGGAAAGCAATTAGGAGTTAACAATGTTAATGTTTTGTTAAACTATATCACCCAAATTTGAAACGTTTTGGTCTAAGAAGAACCAGATACATCAAGAATGGACAGCTGCAAAAAAAATGGTGATTATGTACTCGTGGAAAAATGTTGCTCTCCCAGGCTCTAAAAATTCATTTAACATCTGTCAGCTCTCAGCCATAGGATTAGCTTTGTACCAAAGAAAAGACTAGGCTAGACAATACAATTCCATGTGGTTTAGGGTTGATTCATTCTTTAAAATGGAATCATAATGATGAAATATAAGAAAATTGTATTATTTTAATAGCCTGAGAAGGAATGGATGGATAATTGGATAGGTGAAATATATATTCAGTCTTAACGGCCTTTCAAATATTTAGGATTAGAAATAAAGTAGTTTTATGAGGTTTTTGTTTGTGAGTGTTTAGTTTAGTTCAGGTTTTTAAATATTTTCTTTCTGTTGTGGGGGTTTTAAACATTTGTTTCCTGCCCCTCACCCCCTTGTGTAGTTCAGATAGGATTTTTTTTTACTTTGCATTTTTTTAATATAATACATTTCTTTTTTTAAGTGTACCAACTTTCTTTTTTTTACATTTTAAAATAAAGTTTATTTATGTTTCATATATTTAAAACGTTTAAGAAGAAACAAACATATAAACAAATATATATACATATATACATTTTGCAGCAGGTATTGAGCATTGGTTACATTTTTCTTTTCTTTTTTTTTCTTTTACCTCATAACATTGATGTGATCTACCTTGTTACAATACCCTCCTCGTTCTTTTAATGTTTTAATTTCACAGAATACTTTATGATTAAACGCATGTCCTTCATAGTTTCATAACTTATTCAATTGTCAAATGTTGCTTTTTCTTTAACCATTTGTACCAACAGTTCCAAACTTTGTAGTATTCACTATCTTTGTTGTTTTTTAGTAATTTGGTTAGGCTGTCCATCTCTGCACACTCGTGAAGTTTTTTAATGACTATTTCCTCTGAAGGGACAATAGACAGTTTCCAATTTTGAGCATAACTTATTCTGGCTGCCATTATAATGTGCAAGATTAAATACTGATTTTTTTTTCTATTTTTGAGTCTATCATACCCAGCAAAAAGGTTTCGGGTTCAAGTCTTACTTCTTGTTTAGTTATATTTAGAATCCAATTTTTGATATTTTTCCAAAACTTCTGTGCATATGGACAGGTTCACCACATATGAAAGTATGTTCCCTGGATGCAGTTACACTTCCAACAATTTGGGGGGAGGTTCGGGAACATCTTAGCCAGTCTCGTGGGTGGCAAGTTCCAACGATACACCATTTTATAGAGATTCTCTTTGTATGAGGCTGACATAGTTAGTTTGTAATTTCTTTCCCAAATATGTTCTCACTTGTCTAATTCAGTACTGTGGCCCACATTTTTTGCCCAAATTATCATACACTCCTTGACTGTTTCTTCTTTTAATTTATAATCCAATAGATATTTATATATTTTACTAATCAATTTCCTTTCCTCTCCATGCCAAATTTTATCTAATTCTTGGTAGGTCATGTTAAAACCAAATTGTTCTTTATCTTTTTTTGTAATGCGTTTGTATCTGCACATAGGGCCACCATGCTATCTCTTTTCCTTGAATTTGTATTTGATTCCTACCCTTTAACTCTCTGGTTTGATGCAATATATCTTTATATCTTACAATATTATCAAAATCTAAAACGTTTGGATGTGTAACTGCCTCCATTGTAGATAACCACGGTGGGACCTTACAGTAATGTACTTTTTTTATCTTTTCCTAAATAGTTAATAACACACTCCTTATATAATGCCTTTGAAAGTACAAGTAGTGTTTACTCTTTCCATCCCACATAAATGCGTGCCATCCAAGTTGGAGTTCAAAGCCCTCTAATGTTAAGATCCTTTTATTTATCAAATTAACCTAGTCTTTGAGCCAGGTTGCTATCACAGCATAGTAGTATGTTTCAAAATCTGGAAGACCAAAGCCTCCTTTCTTTCTATCGTCCTGTAATAATTTATATTTTATTCTGGGTTTTTCCCCCTGCCATATAAATTTGGATATATGTTTATTTGGTTCTTCAAAAAAGCTTTTTTCTGTCTGAAATAAGAACAACAATTTTGGCAAAATATTCATTTTTACTATTGCAATACGGCCTAATAGAGATATTTGTAATTTAGCCCAATTATCTAAGTCTTTAAATATTTGAATTGTTAATTTATCATAATTATCTTTTTTAATTGATGAGCACCTAGCTGTCAGCCATATCCCCAGATATTTTACTTTGTTTACCACCTGTATCCCTAATCTCTTTGTTAGTTCTTCCTTTTGTTCATTTGTACAGTTTTTTGTTATCACTTTTGTTTTTTCTTTATTAATTTTTAACCCTGCCACCTTTCCATATTTTTCTATTTCTTTCATCAAAATGGGTGCCATTTCCAGTGGAAAATCTTCCACTATAAATGCCATATTGACAGCAAATGCTTGAAGTTTGTACTCCTGTTTTTTAACTTTTAACCCCCTGATCTCTTCATTTTGTCGGATTTGTACCAGTAGTGCTAATATATAAAGTAAGAGGAGCCAAGGGGCATCCTTGTCTTACACCCTTATTTATCCTTATATTATCTGTATTTTCCCCATTTATTAATATTTTTGCAGTTTGGGTATTATATATTGTTTTAATGAATCCTAAAAAAATTTCACCAAATTTCGTGCCTGTCAATTGTTTAGTAAGAAAATTCCAATTCAAATTGTCAAAAGCCTTCTGAGCATCTAAAAACATCAGTGCCATTGTTTTAGTTGTGTGTACTTCATAGAATTCTCAAACATCCATAATTATTCTTGTATTTGTCTTCATTTGTCTATATGGCAGAAACCCATTCTGGTCAGTATGAATAATCCTACTTAATATTTTCTTTAATCTTTCCGCCAATATTGTGGCCAAAATCTTGTAATCTACGTTTAAAAGTGATATTGGCTGTAATTTTGAATTTATATAAGTCTGTCATTAACTCCTCCAATAACTCTTGAAATTCCTTATAGAATTCAGACAGAATTCCATCTGGGCCCAGGGTTTTATTTAGTTTTTGGGCTCCAATTGCCTTTTTAATTTTTTCTATGGAAATTTTATTATTTAAAATGCATTTCTCTTCAACCATAATTTCCGGTAATTTTTTTCCCTTCAGATATTGATTAATAAGTTCTTCTGGTACTTCTTCTTGATTGTATAGATTTGTAAAAAAGTCCTTGGCAATATCTTTCTTTTCCTTAGCCTGAATACATACTTTCCTTTCTTGGTCTTAGAGAGCTACAATCGTTCTTTTTCCTTATTCTTTTTTTATTTTATGGGCTAACCATCTCCCTGGCTTATTTGCATTTTCAAAATAATTTTGTTTTACTAATTTAACTTTTCGGGCCAGGTCTTCCTGCATACTTAAATTTATCTTATGTTTTACCAAATCTATTTCTTTACTAATATTTTGATTATTCGGATCAGTTTGTCTACTTACTTCTAAATCTTTAAGTTTCTCTCTCCACACATTTTGTTGTTGCCTTTTTTCTTTATTCTTTTTAATACTATAGCCAATAGTTAAACCTCCCACGTAAGCTTTTGTTGTATCCCAGAGGTTTTGAAGGGATGTATGTTCTCTCTTATTTATTTCAAGAAATATTTTCAATTCTTTTCTCACCATTTCAATATATTCGTTATCTTTTAGTATACTATTATTAAATGCCCATCTTAAATGTACCATCTTTCTAAATATTTTAAATGGGACAGAGTTGTATCCTCAGTAATTCAAATTCCCATTTGACATCTAGGATTCCGCAGTATTTTCAGGGTCAATATTTTTGAATTCAGTTTTTTAGCCAAGACGAACATGTATTTGTCTAGAAACAAAAATTAGTATATTTAGCATTAAACACAGAAAATAAAGAATCAAGACAAGAAGACCATCCTGTCTTAAGCAGATCATCCACCCTGATTATACCTTGGGAGCATGGGAAAGGGGTTATTTATTTTATTATTTTCATTTTTATTATTTTTGTTTATCTTGTGTTTTTATGTACTGTAAGCTACCTTGAGTCGCCATGTGTGAATAGGTGACAATATACATTTTCTAAATATATTAATTTCTAATTTTTTAAAATGAATAAATAAATAAAATAAATTTTCTCATATCCTTATTTTTCATTATCTAGCACTGAAAACCAAAAGGCCTTTCTCATACCCTTCCCCAAAATATAAAATATATTCTCTGCCAAGGAAGGAAACCAGATTGGTTCCCGGTTAGCAATTTTTCCCTTCTTGTCCCATACAGTGTATGGAATTGTACATCATACTAAGTCTTGCTTGTTTGTTAGATAAGCCACAATAAGCAGGTTCATATACCTGCAGAGAGATAAATCATGGTTTACAGAGTGTAGTCCAAAAGCAATCTAACAAGCCACATTACTGCCTATGGCGAAGAAGTTAACCCAGCAGTCATGATTTTGCACTGGCTGTGAAAGGAGTGGGAAGTCAAAGAAGCAGAACAATTAGAACAGTGCTTCCTGACTTCAATAAACTGCAGATGTGTGGACTTCAGCTCCTAAATGTCTCCAGCCTGTATGTCCACTGTTGAGCTTTCTGGAGTTAGATTTTATTTATCTGGAACTACCAAGGCTAGGCAACACTGACATGGTTTTCTTGTTATTTGCTAAGAGGTGGTTCTTCTTCAAGGTTTTTTTTTTAAGCCTTATCTCTACTCCCGGACTTCTGAGATTTAAGCAGACTGTGGGTTCAGAGTTCAATTCACTCTTTTAATATTATGATTAGTTGGTCACACAGCCAGCAGATATTTAGACTGGATTTAGCATTTTTATCCACCTACAGAGTCATTTTCTATCAGCAATTGTTAAGTCTGGAATTTTTCTGTGGCAGATGCTTGTCTGTTTGAATTCTAAAACCCAGAATACTTTGGCTTAGTTTTCTATTATATAGTTTATTTTGTGGTCCCACCAGTTTTTGCTTGGAGACGAACGGTATGTCTTGCAGAAATTCCAATACACCACTTCTGCTACTTTGTCAAATCGTTATTTGTAATCAATATTTTAGTTCAATTCGCTCTCGCATGTGAAAAGCTTACAATAAATTTGCTTCTTTCCAGAGCTAGACAAAGTATAATATTCTGTTAGACCTGGGAATAATGGTTTGCAAAATTGTGATTTGTTTCCCAGCTAAGACAGGAAACTTTACCTACCTGTAAAAACAGATGTGCTCAGAAATGCTCCCTACCCAAATAACCAACCAACCAAACAATATGATGGAATTCATGACTTTTAGTGCAGAACAATTCAGGTATGTTCTGAGAATTAAAAATAGTAATCTAAGTAGGTAGCTGGCAATTAATAGTTACAATAAGAAGCCAAATCATACAAGAAGCCAGTTACAAGCTGACAACATTTTAACAGAATAACAAAGTTGGAAGAGACCTTGGAGATCCTCTAGTCCAACCCTCTGTTCAACCAGGAAACCCAATACCATTTAAGACAAATGGTTGTCCAATCTCTTCTTAAAACCTCCAGTGTTGGAGCATCTACAACTTCGGAGGCAAGTTGTTCCACTGATTAATTGTTCTCACTGTCAGGATATTTATCCTTAATTCTAAGTTGCTTCTCTCCTTGATTAGTTTCCACCCATTGCCTCTTGTCCTGCCTTCAGGTGCTTTGGAAAATAGGTTGACCCACTCTTCTTTATGGCAGCCTCTGAGATATTGGAACACTGCTATGTCCTTCTTTTTATTAAACTAGACATATGCAATTCAATATTTTAAAGTATTATTCACAAACGCCCTGCTTCCAACTGCCAATTGCCCCTAATTGTGACTATATGGAGGTGTTCACAATCTCCCCCCCTTTTTTAAATGTGAAGCCCTTCTTTGTGGCCTCCATACATTCTTCTAATTATTACTACAGAAAACTAACAATATGAAGGTGGAAATATTTCTCAATGGAGATTCCACTATTTGTAACACAATTGGTATTGATTATGTATGATCATCTCATTGCTTGACTTGATGATCAGGGGGGGAACGCCTCAATCACGAGAGGCCGATGTTCATATATTATGAAATAGTTTATGCTCAGATGGTTTGAAAAGAGGAAGTATATATGGAATATACAAATAAACACTATCCCTCACTTTCATCACCAAAATCATTATTCATCTAATGCTATTTAGGTCTGTGAGATTACCTACATCCAGTATTTGTCACTACAGTTCTTTACCGTATGCATATTCTTCTCATAACTAAGAATCTTGGCTCAACTTGATTGAAGAAGAAAAATGCAATACGCTGCCTTGATTGCTTCCATTTAACTCTTCTGCCAGAATCGGTTTAAGAAAAATATTCCCTCTATGTTCCATTTGCCGTGACAAGCCAGAATCGCTGCTTTATCTCTCAAACAAATACAAATTTGGACAAAAATACCATTCTCAATTGACTTTTGTAACAGAAGCTCTGATTCTTCAATCAGGATAAACTAAAGCAAATTCAACAGCTGGTTTAGATGTAAAAGTCCACAAACATGACTTGGGAATATGGGAACAACTGGAAGAATCCATATTCAAAGTAAGCTACAACTATTGGATATTCTGATTTATTATGACAGACTCTTCAATGTCATTTAAATGAGTGAAGTAGTACCTCACCCCATCTTATGCAGAAAATACAGTCTTTAAAAGCAAACCAATTGCACAGAATTTCTGTTTGAAACATCACAGTTTTAAAAAGCCATCTAGTTTTAGTTTTTAGTTTACTTTATTGTCATTGCACCTTGTACAACAAAATCAAACACCATCTTCAGTGCACATCATGACCATGAAAATAAACACAAACACACATCCTTCACCCTTCACGCATTGAACCGAAAACCCCCGACACCACACTGCGCTATACAGCAGAATTCAAAAGAGCTACTGCTCTGGTACAACTGCCCTGATCTACAGGTTCAATTTGGGTAAAAGCTCATAAATCTCTGCTCATTTCTGTTTTTGTTGTGTCCTGCAGATTTGTATTGTCTACTTATTTATGTCAAGGGCAACCTGCTCACTTTTCACCAATAGCAATGAAAAAAGGTAATAAAGCAATAAACTGAGCTCCTAATTTTATGTCTGTAGCTCCACATTTGGCTATTTTTATTAGGAACAGAAAGTTCTACCTACATTAAAAAAAAAGAAAAAGAAAACAGTGTTTAATTATATATACCAATCTATTGCTTTCTTAGCTGAGCCTATATTTATGTACTTTAAAAAAGTCTCATCATATCAATGTGTCCTTCCTGATAAAGCAACAGAAATAAACCTTGGAAAACATACAGATATCGCAATTTATATTTGGTCTTAAATGGCCACAAAACTCTATCCACTGGCAATATTAAAACTTAGCTCTACAGGTTAGGCTGTACATTCATGGACAAAAGTGAACTCCTTTAAAAGCTGCATAAGCAGATGCTAAGAAAAAGTCAAAGCTTGCTAGTGAATAATATAAAGCAGAATAACCCATTGAGCTACAGTAGCATTTTTTGTTAGCCACCATTGTTAGATCAGCTTCAATAGCTGCTGAAGCCATCATCTTGATTACAAACACAATAACTAGGTCTACATTGTCGTAGTAAACCAACAACGTACAATTGGTTTAGCACGATATGAGAATCACGCCACTGACAGGGAATAGTTTTCTATAAAGAAGAGCAGAAGGTATAAAACAATATCACTCAATATTAACTCAAAAGTGAGGAAACTCTGTCTCTCTAATCAACATTTCTCAGCCTTGGGAATTTTAAGATGTGCAGACATTAACTCTCAGAATTCTGGCTGAATGGAGAATTCTAGGAGTTGGTATCTGTAGAGCTTAAAGTTGTTGAAGTCTAAAGCTCTAGAGCAGGGGTGTCCAACCTTGACAACTTTAAAACTTGTGGACTTCAACTCCCAGAATTCCTCAGCCAGTTTTGCTGGCTGAGGAATTCTGGGAGTTGAAGTCCACAAGTCTTAAAGTTGCCAAGGTTGGACACCCCTGCTCTAGACATTGTGGAACTCTCATTCCCATGATTCCTCACTATTGGACAACCTTGCTCTGATTGTTGAGAGCTGTAGTTCAATAAAGATCTGGAAAGACCACTCTGCAGCTTTCATCCCTAAGTCAACCAAACTGGTTTTGCACTATTTCCTGAAGCTATTGTGGCTGTTGCTAATTCAGTATCTGTGATCCGAATGTCAGTATCCACTAGAGCAGGGGTGTCAAACTCACGTTGTCCCGGTGTCATCACGTGATGAATCACCACTTTTTTCCCCTTCGCTAAACCGGGCGTAGGTGTCGCCAGTGTGTGACGCATCCGGCCCATGGGCGGGGTGTTTGACAGCCTTGCCCTAGAGCTCAAGGCCCACGGGCCAGATGCCGGGTGCTTAAATCTGGCCCATGGGGCTGGCCTGGAAATAGTAAAGGACCAGCCCACGGTGCCTCTGGCAGCTAAAATGGGATATGGGGGCCCATATGTGGGGGCCCTGGAAGCCCGTTTTGGCCGGCAAAGTGCTGCAGGAGACCATCCAGGCCAAAAATGGGGCACAGGTGTGTGAGTGTGGCCCTCCATGCCCCATTTTAGCTGGCAGGATGGTGCAGGAGGTATCCGTACGATCTCCCCCACCCCCACCCAGGCTGGCCTGTGGAGGAAAATTACAATGCTGATCCCGCCCTCAAAGAAATCCAGTTTGACACCCTTGCACTAGACAATAAACTGGTTGGGGTTCTGATAAGAACCATCAGACAGTGAAGAATGAAAAGGAGACAAATCAATTCCATTTAATCTAATATTTGCAAAGGACTAGAACCTCTTTCTTCCGAGAATCCCAAACTTCAAACCAATGTTTTCATTGTGAAATATTTCAGATTAAAAATGCTTCATATCTCCCACACTTTCTGTCTGATCAGAACCCCAAAATGGAGATATGAGCAATTCTGGTGGCAAATTGCTACCAAGAGATTATGGCACCATTATAGTTTGGGCTCATAATCTTGTATTAATGCCTGGAGCTTCTGCAGCTATATTAAATCTTTCAGGAGCAGTCAGAGTTATCTCTTTGTATGCAAGTTAAACATCATGCTACCACTGGAATAATCTTTTCTGAATGGTAAAATATCCACATCTGGATAAGAAATCAGGAAGTAAAGCCTTCTGGATTTTATGGGAGAGAGCGAGATCAAACTGCCAGAGGAAACTGCAAATGCAAAGATATACACACTCACCCTTAGAGAGACAAATTCAGAACTAAACAAAAACAAACCCAAACAACTGAAAAAAAATCTTCAGGAGCCAATATATTTTTTTCTTCCTTCATCTGCTACCAACCTTACAGCTATCATTAAATGATAACACCTTCCGGAAATCAAAATCTCATGCAGGTCTGTATCTTAAATTACTCTGTAGAAAATTCTAATTTATTAGGCATTATTGATAGTCAAGGGTTTACAATAAAAGAAGTATCCCAATTTCCTCCTTTGAGAGATAAAAAGGGAATAGGAAATACCTGTTAGTTGATATTAATGGTCAAAATTTTTCAAAATGCTTAATTAGTGAAACCTGAAAATCTAGACAAACAGGCGTGTACACACGTACACACACACACACATACACACAATATATATGCACATACACACAAACGCAATTACACCTGCACGCAATGTCTGTGGAGATTCTCAGTTTCAAAAGACAACTGGGCTTTCTTTGGGTGTTTTTTTTTATCTTGAAGATGTTTTGCTTCTCATCCAGGAAGCATCTTCAGTTCAGAACTAAAGAAAATTCTTAGATGAGAAGCAAAATGACTTCAAGGAAAAAAAAAATCTGCCTTTTAAAAGTCTGCACTCAG